CACCTGAAACAGAATTTATGTGTTCAGAAAGAAGAGTTTATCAGTTTTACCTTGCCCAGGTAACTGGGTGTCTTTGTTCTCTCTCTTTTAACCTCACCTCTGCCCTTCGATATAGTGTAATTTTGCTCGTCTCTTGTTGCTATGATACGAGTTGAACTCAATACATTATCACCCACTTTATTTGTTACTCTTCATCTTACACACTTCTCGTGTTTATTGCGTGACTCCTTCACCATTGTGTGTATAAATTTACTTTGTTTAACCTTGAACTCTGTGCTAACGAGCATAATGTGAAAATTGCAAGTATGTTAAAACTTTTTTGTACATGAAATTAATAATAATAACTTATTTAGGCTATAAGCAGCAGCTAATATATGTGTAAAACTTGGGCACTGTGGTAGTAAGTAATTCCATATTAGTTTGTTTATTAAATGTATCACACAGTGAAACAGTATTGTATACTGGATGACGTTTCGAACACAATTTATTGTTCATAATCACATCAATTTTTGTCACACGACTTCGAGATTTGATTTTTATAGTTTTTTCTGTCTTCTCCTATTTGTTGCATGGGCAGTAGAATTTTCCATATATCTGGGACAGGTGTTGAATCATTCCTATTACATGTATCTGCAAATACATGTAATAGGAATGATTCAACACCTGTCCCAGATATATGGAAAATTCTACTACCCATGCAACAAATAGGAGAAGACAGAAAAAACTATAAAAATCAAATCTCGAAGTCGTGTGACAAAAATTGATGTGATTATGAACAATAAATTGTGTTCGAAACGTCATCCAGTATACAATACTGTTTCACTGTGTGATACATTTAATAAACAAACTAATATGGAATTATAAGCAGCAGCTGATTTGAAGCCGACGAAATAAATTGTGATACCACTGTTGTTGTTGTTGCTTTATTCAAATTCATAAAAGGGAATGAACGAATGTATGAAATCGACTTTTCGTAAGTGAAAGAAATACTTGACTTACAGTCTATTCTTAGAATTCGCCTTTTCTGTTGCCCTACTAAACATAGAAAAGTTGTTCAATCCTTTTGTAATGTTTATTAAACAAATATTTATATTTTCAAAATTTTGTTAGTATAACTGGTGTAACATTCCTTTTTTTGTCAAAACTAAACATTGTTGGTGCTAAGTGGTTGGAAACGATTGATACGAAACTGGGGACTTTGGTTTCCTACATGTTGGCAATTGTGTTTTGATTCGGATATGTTTGCATAGCTGTTTGTCAACTTGCATAACTCTGTCATTCATATGAACTTTATGTCTTGTTCAGTTATTTTGGATTATTATTATTATTATTGGGAATCAAAAGTAAGATCCGGATTTTCAACTCCTAGGTGAAGTCAGTCAGTGCTACTTATTATACGGATTAGAGACTTGACCAGCGCGTCATAAAGAGCATCTCAAACAAACTTCAAACATTCATTAACAGCTGTCTTCGCTCAATACTCAAGATCAGATGGCCAGCCTGAAAAGATCAGCAACAGGGACCTCTGGGAGCGAACCAATCAGGAACCGATTGTGAAACAAATAAGCAGAAAGAAATGGAGATGGATTGGCCATACGCTGAGGAAACCATCAAGTGACATCACTAGACAAGCAATTGCTCGAGTGGAACCCGAAAGGGAAGCGACGAGTTGGTCGTCAGTGCAAGGGTGACTTGGAGGAGGTCATGTGGAGAGGAGATGAAAGCATGTGGGCAGACTTGGAGCGGGATGAAAAATTTGGCAGAAAACAGAATGCAATGGAGATGCGCAGCTGAAGCCCTATGTTCCTCTAGGATCTAAAGGATATAATGATAATAATCATAAATTATTAGTTGATTATTTTCTTTATCGACGAAATCATCTTCAGAGGCTGTACAGTCGTATTTATTCTTACAAAAATATATAGTGGTGTATTATTGAGTAATAAGGGGTGACATAACTGATGCGGCCAATATAACTAGCTCGACACGAGCAGGCGCACGCTTTGCAAACGCATCTCTAAACACTATCCGGCATGTTTGGCAAAGGGACAATGCAAGACAAACACTAGCTCAATTCTCCGGCATTTGGTGAACTCAGGCCACGTAGCTCCACCAGCATTGTCATTCAAGATCATCTGCAAAGTGAAGCCAGATGGTAAAAATGCCGTCAGGTTTCGGCTTTTCTGTATGGCGGAGGCTCTGGCGATTCGTCAATACAACCCTGAACTCTGTATACAGAAAACCTTTATCCAGTTTCTTATTTTACCTTGGTCTTAACCTCTTCACTAATTGTTGCCTGTAAAAACATTTTGAATTTTTTCTTTTTTAATTTTTAATTTAAACAGAAGGCAGTGGAGACGTGCAGCTGAAGCCCTATGTTCCTCTAGGAATTAAAGGATATAATAATAATAATATTATTATTATTATTAGGAATCACCAACGGTTGAACATAACTGGAAATTCATCACAGTGACACATATTATATATGGTCATTCTTTATTGTCTTCAGAATCATGAATTTATATGAAGAGAATTCATTGCTTCATCCTTCTTTCTTCCCTCAATTTTGTTTACTTATTTTTGTGTGTTTGTGTTCTCTGTGAAGGTAATATACTTCAGTGCGTCGGCGGCACAGCGGTAGAATGCTCGCCAACCACGCATATAGTTCGGGGTTTGATTTCCAGCCGATGGACCCTTTTACCTCGACAAGCCATTAATGAGATTGGTAAAGAGGGAAGGTTGGGCATGAGGGGCTGGCTACTCCATCCTGTGAAAATAAACACCACTGCTACTGCAACTTCAAGGCTCTAGCTTGAAGCCTAATGTTCCACTGGGAAAGTAAGGTAATAAGACAGGAAAACAAAAACAAACAATATGCTTCAGGTAAAATTTGTGCGTCGGGTGGCACAGCCGTTAAGACACTCACCGACCATGCACATGGTCCGGGGTTCGATCCCCGGCCACAGACGCACTCCTTTACCTCGCTAAACCAGAAATAATTCTGGTTAAAGAGGTAAGGTTGGGTATGAGGCTAGCAACCCCATCCTGTAAAGTCAAAACACTGCCACGGAAACTTCATGCTGGAAGCTTGAAGACCTATGTTTGACTGGGAACGTGAAGGAAATAAAGTAAAATTACTCTCAGGGATAAATGGTAAGAAGACATGCATATCAATTGAGTTTTCAGCCTAGAACTGTGCATAAAAGCCCAGCGGTTCATGTTGTTAAAAGTAGCGAAAAATAGAAATTCAAAGGAGCCATAACAGATGGAAAATGTAGAGGTGAGGAGAAGAATAAGCACATACAAAATAATGAGAATTCTTCGTGCCTCTAGGGTAGTCCATAGAGAGAATGAATGCATTCGCGCCAATATAATGCAACAGTCTAAAGCCATCGGTTGTTTCAGCGTCTCAGCGAGAATCCAACCGAAGCTCAAATCGATAGTCAGAAACTGTATGAATTCATGTCAAGTTTTGATTAGACCACTATTGTATTCCTAATTTCATTATTATTACTGTTTTCCAAGTTTATATTTCCATTCCTCTGATAAGTTCTTTTCTCTAGCAATCTCAGATAGTTCATTGTTGTAAATGTCCACATTGTTATTATTGGTTTTTGTAGAGCTGTACCAATGTAAATTTAAATCTTGCATTAGTTGAGAAGGTTTGTAGTTCAGGCGAGTGCTTCTAGTCTTGTTGTTTACATCCTCTGGGATGGATGGCCTATTGGCGAAGCTTTCATTACCTTTCTAGATAACTCCTTCAGTGCTAACTACAATGTAAAGTTTGAACTTAGCTTAGGGCTTTAAAGACGTCTGTAATGTGCCATTGACCCACATAACCGACATCATTGTTGACAAACATTTAAATTTATGCAAGGAATTGATTAGGGTCATCTTGTCGAACATATTAAACATTCTCAACTTCCTCCTTGTATGACTACAGGCAAAGCTGAGAGAAATTTCATAAAATAAATATAATGAGAGCTTCGTAGTTAAACTAATCCTTCTGAAAGAACGTAACAGCAGCAAAGATAAATCCAGTCTCCGGTATGTGTGTTGATGGTAAACTGGTGGTACTCCCACTGGCCAAAGAGGAGGTCTTGGTTCGATTCTTGGCTGACACAATTGTAAATCTCATCTACCCGGGTATTAAGGTTGGGAAGCAGGGATAATTGGACGTGCGACTGGCGAATTCATCCCGTAAATAAAACAAAACGCCTGCTACTGAAAACTCAAAAAGCTTGAAGCGCAATGCTCTAAATGTATGAATAAGTGAAGATTTTGTTTGATGGGTGATAATAATACTACCTGGCTACCGAAATCCGCTACGTAGAGATAAGTTCGATGACCTATAACCCTTCGGTTGAAAGTTCAATGCCTTTTGTAATAAATTTGCAGCCACTGGAGAGAAGAAATTAATTCAGTAGATGTAAGTGAAAATATACAGGACTTTCAAAGTCATCAATAATGAATCAACTGTATATGGATTGTGGTGTCATCTAGATTTTCTCACCATTGATTTTGGACAACTAGGTTTCCTCAGACAGAAAGTCTATACCTCCCTACAGAGGTCAGTTATTTTATGGTTTACTGTTTCTATGAGGATATGTGACTCATTGGCTTGGCACTTGGTTTCCAACCGAAGAGTCATGGTTTCGAGTCTCTGTGTATGTAATTTAGCCTGGGCGTTTGGGTAGTATCATGAGGCCTCACACGACAAGTGTGCCTCTTAGTCTGGCACCATAGTTAGTTAAGCTTGAATAGCAACATGTTTAACTCACGTGATAGCACTGTGGATAATCTTGTTCTTTTAAGAGGATAGTTGTTCAATATACCTAGTGAATATCTCTTCTGGTTTACTCATTTCTAGGTTTAATTATTTGGAAAAGACGAATTAATGGATATAAAAGCTCTACATTACTGATGAGTTTTTGTTTATATCAATGACATCATTGAAATTTTTGTTTTCTATCCTTCTTTATTTCTTCTTATTTTTTCAGGGGGAATTTATCTGTCACTCGAACTGTTTGGTGGTGTCGAGCTATCATAATTAACCTATGCGTCTTCTTTGTGGTATTCTTTCTGACTACACCTACATACGTATTGAATTTGGTTAATACACTGCATTTAACTGAACGTCTGCAGATTAACGTAAGTTTTGTTGCATAACCTGTTAAGCAGATTACTCTCTCTCTCTCTCTCGAAAGATGTACATGTGAACATGATTACGCAATATAAGTACATAAATAAGTAGTCAACCTATGTTTTATGGTATCATGCAATTATGGGCTTCTACTTGTCTGTGATTTTCTCTTTTCTTTGGACAGAAATCTACAGGAGAAAGAAAAGTAGCACAGAAAAACATGAGTGCTTTATCGATTTGTGAGATTGCAAAGAATGACTGCATCTATGCCATTCATTAAGAACGATTTCGAGCCGTATTACCAACAGTCTGCAGATACTAGCGCATTACAGTTCCACTGTACAGACGATGAAGAAAACGTTATTGTCTTCTCTGCAGTGGATAGTTCAACTACCAAACTGTCATTATCTTCCTTGACAACATATGACTTCAATATAAATTCAACACGGAAGATGTTGTCTAGACAGACAGGGAAAACATCGCAGCTGCTCAGAGAACAAAACGACATCAATACAGGTCTTACTACTTGTTCTGTCTGGTGAATGTAGCTTTTTTTTATATATTAAGCAATAAGTCGATAATGTTGGGCTGTTGGAGGCTACTCTTGGATTAGGGTTCTTTCTTAGCTTTGCTTCTACACTTGACAATTATATTATGACGGATTGAGTACTTTTCTTATACTGAGAAGGCACAGAAGACTGACTGAGAAGAATAAAGATGTATTACTTTTATGCAAAATGCAGTATTACTAGAAATTACTGCTATATATGTGATCATTTTACACAACCAATAAATTACTAGCTAAGACGTAAAAACTACACTTCAGCTGGATAGCATGACACATGTCTTTAGTCTATGTTAGAGTTAAATGTCTGGTGTAGATGTCTGGAGTATGTCTACTCTCTTCCTAACAGACATGCATCTTGTTATGAGATCATATTAAAAGGGATTTGCTGTATTCAATGTCCTGCTGTCACAAGTTGATTCAACATGTGATACCTCATTTGTTATATATCTTAAAGGTGTAAAATTTGGTGCTTAGAAGTGTCTTCAAAACGAAGAGTCTGCGCGTAATACGTTTCAACAAGCAAATTACCTCTTTATTGCGCCACTTCGTTGTGTCGACTGAAGTCTAATGTATGTTAGAAGTGTGTGTGTGTATATATGTGTACAAATGATAATTTCAATGCTGTTGTAAGATTTTAGTTCCCTGTAGTCAGGATGCTTTGTAAGTAAGTATTCGGTGGCATTCACTATTTGTTTTTGTCATTAGTTTTTGTATCCTCGTGCCGTAAAATATCATTTGTGAATACGTTTAAAGAGACTGTTGAGAGTATTTGTTTATTGATCATGCTGGAGTGTGTTTGCGCGCGTCGAGGAGACTTTTTTGACGAATCCGTTTTCAAATATATATAGTCATTAAGTCTATTGGTGTTTTTAAATACCATCTATTTGCTAAGTAAGATCAATGGAATTGCAGTCCACGAAAGATGCATAAATTATAATAAGCATAAAAATGTAACAGCAAATAGAATATTAAACAAAATCAAGAAAATTTCTACAAAAAATTGAGGATCATCAGAACCCAGAATGCCAAGGTAAGGACAGTGTCTGAACCAGTTTCTTTTTTGGATACATAAGTTAGGTTTCTTAATGTAGATTCCAACAGCCTCAGCGGTATGTGGTAGACGAATTCCTAAGGTAACGTTAAGATTAGATGTTATGCGGTAAATGACTTTGAAAGCCTAGTTAACATCAATCTTGTGTTGTGTATCCACGAGATGAGATAAAAGAGAGCTATGAATAGATTTTCTTTGTCCTTTACTTACCCATGGAGGATGGTGTTCAGAAATCCGACGATAAACACGCCTAGTTGAATGGCCTATGTAACTGGCTCCATAGGAACAGTCAAACTGGCAGATAAACATAAAAGAGGTGAAATTAGGCAGTTTATCTTTCACTCTCGAACACAACATAGGGATGGTTTTGAAGATATAGCATAATTCAGCAGTACTGAATGTTCTTTTTAGCGGATTTCATAGGCGTTGTTTTCATATCTCACTGGTATTATTCCCGAGGAACAGAAGTTGTAAGAGTAAGGCCTTTTTCGGAACTGTTGATACTTTGACCTGCCTTTACTTTTGATTCATATTCTTATCGATGAATTTCCGTAGGTAACCGTTCTCACTTAGCAACTGTTTAATAATATTAAGCTCTTCATTAAGACATTCCTCCGAGCAGATTACTCTTGCTCTGTACTTCATTAGACTGTGTTTCTATTGTAAAGGCAAGAAGCTGAAAAAATGAGTATATTGACCAGTTGATGTAGGTTTTCTATGCGTACTTCTTTTTATTGTATCATCGTCTTTTCTGGTCATAAGGACGTCTAGGAATGAAATACTAGAGTCTCTTTCTTTCTCGGTGGTAAAATTTATTGCAGGATGAACATTGTTAACTTCGTCAACAAGGATGTTCTTTGCTTTATCTTCATTTTCATAGTCAGAAATGTATCATCCATGTAACCCCGACAGTAGAATTCTAGTTCATCAATTTTACATCTTTCAAAGGTTGTATAGTCACATTTATATTCAATTTTTGATGTAAGAGGATGATAACAAAGAAGGTGAATTGTCATAAGTCTAGTTGTTAATTTTGACTCACACATAAGAGAGTAGCTTAAAAATCCTCATTAACTGATGTAAAAGAAAAGGCTTATTCAGCGAAGAGTTACTCCTTTTTTCAGGGATTCCATTCTCATGTTGTACAATTGCATGTATATGTATGGTACATTTTCACAACAACTTGATGAATGGTTCGGAAAATGTGTCATTAAAATTTGAAGTTTATAAAAAAAAAATTAAGTAATAGAGAAAGCGTTAATGGGATAGAAACTGAAAATTGAATCAGTGTAGATTGACTGACGCATTATGAATGACAGTATTAAGTAGAGCTCAACTAAAACTGAAAAAGAGTTAATTCCAGCGTCAATAAGGAGTAGAAATGTGGTGGATAAAGAGTTAAAAAAAATATTTAGAATAAGAATTAGGACTGACAAAACTTACATATCAAGTGTTGAGAGACAAATTAGATCAGTTTTCAAGTATTGCTTTTGTGAGGATTTTGTATGATTGGTTGGAGGATTTCATCATGAGCTGACATCAATTAAAGAACCATTCGAAACCAGCAGGGAGTACTGGATAGCTGTGTCGTCGTAGTTTGGGACTCTTCATGAGTACGCACCCACCACAGTAGTTCGAACTCAAGACTTGCTGGTTGCAAGGCGAGCTCTTAGGCGATTAAGCCACTGGGATCTGATCTTATTGCCAGCCTATGAATTATAATTTCCAATGATTCTTTAACTGATGTCAGTTCATGGTAAAATCCTCGCCCCTACAAAACCAATACTTGAAAACTGATCTCATGCTTACTAGCGACTGGTCCTATTCAGGTAGTTACCTGGGGTTCTAGTGAAAAGTCGAGACCAGAAAGGCGTGCAGTAGGTTGAAAGTGAGGATAGTTACTCATCGAAGAAGACACTATAAACTTGAATGAACTATGTCATGAATTTGTAGAAGTTCGAATTCATGGGTTGGCTATTCAATCGTGTTCCAGTAGCTTAATGGCCTAAGAGCTCTCCTTTTAACCAGAAGGTGCAGGGTTCGAACCTTGGAGGTGGGTGCATACTGATGAAGAGTCCCAGTCGAGTGGGACGAAACAGCTATCCAGTGCTGGCAACTGGTTTTCCAATGGTTCTCTAACCGATTTCAGCTTATGGTCTAATCCTCCAACAAATTAGAACGATTGTAGGTTCAGGTGATTAAGAGTGATGGAGTTGCGCAATAGGACTAATAATTTAATGAGGGATTTGTGATCAAAGTGCATACAGAATCGCAGAAAATCTGATATCAAATAAGAATTTCGAAAGAAATTCAGAGTTAGAAAAAACTTGGCTGTAAGTCAATAGGGTCGTTAACACAATAATAGAAATAGTTCAGTAGATCCAATTTCTCTATCTGAATAACTAGAACTGCAGTAATAGAAATGAGACGAATGAGTAATGTCATCAGCCGGTTGCTCTTAACTTTGCAGACCATTATGGAGGTTTTGATTTTATTGGGACTAGCTGGCCAGTGTGTGAATGAATTGTGTTCACCTATTGCACTTCTTGAACACCTTTAGATAGGATATACGAATTGATAGTGGTTTTAATCTCTAAACTGTTAAGCTGTTCCAGAAAACAACTCTCTTCCTACAAGTAATAAAAATATCGGCTTGTTAGCTGATTGATCTATGATTGTATCTTTCAGTAGGTCATAGAATCTTGTTGTCTAATAAAGCCTAACTAGGAGGACAGCCAACGTTAACTCGTTATAAGAATCTCTTTGAAATTTATTAATTACTAGACAAACCATCCGGTTAACTGTCTGTTTCAGGTAAACCATGAATTGATATTACTTAGAGAACCATTTAAAACCGGGGAACGCTGGACAGCTGTTTTGTACTTGTTTGGGACTTATCGGCAGTACGCACACATTGGGTTTCGAACCCAGGACCTTCGGGTTACAAGGCAAGCTCATATACCATTCAGGCACTGGTACCCGATTTAAAGGCGGATGAATCTTGACCTCTATCAATTGTAAATAGCTGTCCTGTTCTCCCCTGGTTTATATGGGTTCTTTAACTGATATCAATCTGTGGGCTGAAACCTGAAACAAATAGATTCCCAACAAACTTATTCTTGAAAAGTTTAACTATTTATCAGTAGTGGTAATAATAATCTAGGCTGTTGAATGTGTAGTTTATTCTTTCATATTGATCTGTAAGATATGACTTTTTGTGCACTTGTAGTGCACCATCTGTATATATGTCGTTTTTATTGCTGTTATTGTACGATTGGCATTCTTCATTGAGTTCTTAACTTAGATACTTTTTCAAAATACATTGACATTGCACTTTGGATAGTTTGTTTTTGCTTGCTTGCTTGCTTTTCTTAATTACATTGTATAAGTACAATTTCAGATTAGATTTTTGAGTTATTGATAAATATTCTTGTCTATCGGTGTTGGGTTCATGTTTTTTGCACTTTGGAAATGATTAACTTATTGTTATGATTTCCCTTTGGTAACCTCCTTCGTATACCTGGGAAGCATAGTTTCAACTACAGGCGGGTGGAACTGACGAAGATATCAAAGCAGCGAGGATCGGGAAAGCAAGACAGGCTTTCATTACTCTCAAGTCTGTGTGGAGATCAACAGCACTAATCAGCATGAAAATTAAAATAAGGTTCGCATTTTCAACTCCACTGTGAAGTCAGCGCTACTTAATATACGGATCAGAGACTTGGCATCGAGTCACGAAGGACACTTCGAACAGACTACAGGCCCTCATCAACAGCTGTCTTCGCTCAATACTACTTAAGATCAGATGGCCGGCCAGAAAAGATCAGCAATAGTGAGGGATCTCTGGGAGCGAACCAACCTAGCAGGAACCGATTGTGCAACAAATAAGCAGGAAGAAATCAGGGTGAATTGGTCATACTCTGAGAAAACAAACCATCAAGTGACATCACACGCCAGGCCATCGTTCGAGTTGCCCTCGATTAAATGGAAAGTGGCGTGTTAGTCGTCAGTGCGAGGGTGGCGTGGATGAGGCGATGTGAAGAGGAGATGAAAGTATGTGGGCAGACGTGGAGCCATGTGAAAACGTTGGTAGAGAACGGAACACAGTGGAGACGTTCGGTTGAAACCCTATGTTCCACTAGGAACTAAAGGAAATAATAATAATTCCCTTGCATTCTGAGTGGATCATAAGGCTTCAACAGCATATCTTTATTCTGTTCCGTTCATTACACACGCATACACTTTCATCACCCCCTCACACCATCCCATGTCATCCTTAAACGTCTCATTCGGGTCCTACTCAAGTTGGGGTCTTGCGGACTCTGTCACTCTGCGGTCTCCTCAAGGTGTCTGCAATCTACCTCCATTTTATTCCGCATGTACTGTTAACCGATAGATTCTTATCGTGTCCAGTGCACTGCAGAGTTCCTTGTTAGTAGAGCTTTTCGCCTGGCGTTTCAGTATGCAGCAAAGGCAACTGTTGATAAAAGTCTTCAGCAGCCTGTCGGAAATGTTTTTTGTGACTCACTCAATCTCTGTTCTATATAGAAGAATTATCTTAACATTGGTTCTGAAAATCTGAATTTCGTTCTTTGTGATGAATGCAGCAGATTTCCAAAGTGACTTCATAGTGATGAAGTCTTGACTGTCTTGACTTTTCGGTCGTGGCTTGCTTTGACATCTTCATCCGTGCCATCACTTGTAGTTGAAACGATGCTACACGTAGGTAGGGGGAAGAAGTGACTTCCTTCAAATTGATCCCGTTGTTAATGGTTGGTGTTTGTTGTAGTTATTACTTAGGTACCTTCATCACCCTTGTCTTCCTCTGTGTTCATTTTAGCTCCTGTCTTCACTGTTTCTCATCCCATTTTGTTGGTTTTCACCTGTTTATATGCCACTAAACACAAACCATCTGCGAAGTCCAAATCTTTTAGATTATCCTTATCATCAGTTCAACTTATTTCTGTCTTCTTGTTCCGCACACTCATTTGTATGATTCAGTCCGCTACATATGGGAGTATCATCAGTAATCGTAGACAGCCTTATCTTCGCTTGAATGGCTTCATCGGGTTTTCCGTTGCGAATCGTTTGACATGTATGGCGTAATCGTATGGTTGATGAATAAGGTGGATAAAAGTTTGGAGTACTGCACTGTATAGTGTTGGAGCGGTTTCCAAGCCTGTGGATGACATTTTTCAAAATCGATGAAGTAGTAGGGATAATTAACAAATATTATTTCTCATATTCATCCATGAACTGTTTAATTTTATAAACAAATTTATTCATTTTCATTTTATTGTCAAATAGTGTAGGAGATAATGAAAGTTATTATTCAATCTATTTTTATTTTTATATATTTTTGTATTACAGCTTGATTCCACACTGTATTTTTGGTACAAGTATGGAATTTTCAGCATGTGATATCGGTAGCCTAAATTTTCCAGGCTGACCATAGATATCAGGTGTTCGTCGGCAGGGGATCGAACCTCGAACCATGTGGATGGTCGGCGAGAGTCCTAACCACTCTGAAGAGATATGCCAGCTTTCTTTCCATCTCCCGTTTTCCTAGTGGAACATAGGGCTTCAAGCTTTGAATGTTCACTAGCCTAAAGCCTTTTTTTGTGTTTTTTTCAAATGTGATGGCGTTGCTAGCCTCATTCCTAACTCTCCTTTCTGCTCTAGCTTACTACCGGTTTGTAAGCTAAGTAGTGTGTATAAGGGTGTCAGCTTGACCTCCTGCATGGTCGGTGACTATTCTGCCATATGATCAATTAATTCCTTGGTTAAATATTCTCCATTTGAGAGATTGTAGAGTCTAGGAATCCATATCAGCGTCCAACACTTGCCCTTTCTCTTGACCTGTGCGCAGCTTTTTTCTTGTTTGACCGAGAGGTACTATGGCAATCTCTGATAAACAACTCTGCTTATCTAATACATGAGAGGAAGATAAACATAATCATTCTCATAGTAAACGATACTTTTCAGTGTGGTGTTTTTGCTGCAGCGTAAACACAAGTAATTCAGGCCTATGAAGCTCCTGTATCTGATGTCTAGATTTGAGGCAATTAGCTGTTCGTATAGTACGAATTACTAGAGCATTTTAGTTTTTTTCGAGTACTCTTACTAATATAGTTGAATTTTTAGATTTTTCCGTCGATTGATTGGACCGAAGTGCTCGGTCTCAGGTTAACATGTCAGCTTCTTATGCAGATACTTCGACGATGTCAGGGCATGTAATTAGAATTTAATCAGTGGATGGTGACTAGCAGTGGAATCCAGGATGCGCATTTCGTCCTATTTGGGACTCGTGGTCAGCTGGATATACATGCATTTCCCACTGAGTGATGATGTTCCCAATTGAGGATCGAACCCAGTGCCCATAGTTTCAAACGCCAAAGGGAGCACTTCTGTCCAATCAATCGACGGGAAAATGTAAAAATTAAGTGAAATTAATAAGACCTGTTGCACAAGAGGTGGCTCTCGTGACCCAAGTGGTCTAGTGGTTAACGCTTTGACGTTTGAAACTATGGGCACTGGATTCGAGCCTCAGTGGGAACATCATCACTCACTGAGAAATGCAGGTACATCCAGCTGACGGGTACCAAATAGTGCTAAATGCGCATCTTGGATTCCATTGCGAGTTACCATCCATAAATTAAATATGCTCTTACTAATGTTAATATAATTGTACTTCCACTTGTAGTGTCCTTCTTCTTCTCCATTCTATTTCCTTTTTTATAATGTTTTCAAAATGTGATAAATATGTTATGCTTACTAGTGATTTGTCATTCGATCGGTGAATAGTTGTCAGATTGCGTTTTGATGCATTTTGGTATCTACTCCTGTAAGTATTCTCTTGTGTGTGTGTTTTTTCTTCTATTAAACAGAATCCTTTGTTGAATCAATTTATACCGTCTATTATCCTATGGTCAGTGTCTGCTTTATTACCGTATATTGTCTACAATTCTGATCGTTTTGTTGGTCATTGGACAAAATCATGTCTACATTTAACTGTTATGACAAAAACATTCACCCTGTTGATTCTAATGATTTTGATACTACCATCGCTTGGCTTGACATCGTAAGTTTTTAAAATTATTTGAATTTTTGCATAAGTTTTAGCGTTATTGCGCAAAGTTTTAAGTGTTGTTACTTCTCATACTCCGCTTATTAACATGCAGAAAGCAAAAGCGCATTGTATGCTACTTATTTGCCCTGAATTTTGTCTGTAACCAATATGCATTAACCTTGATTAGTGTTTAAATTGTTGTTTTTTGCCGATTTTTGACGTCTGTGCTAGACTTTTGCGTTCAGCGAAGTGCTTTTAAAAGATGGACTGTCACTGGCTGTTAACTATTTATATTTATCAGTGAATTTAGTGTTGGTCGAGATTATTTAGAATGTATATATATTCAGTTGTACTCTCAAGTATAGTTGATTGAGACAGTAAAAGCTGTCTGTCAACCGTCCGTCTACTTCTGTGTTTTCACACACCGGTGGTATTATTGTTACGACAGTTAATGTTAATATTTCTGATTATAGTTTGTTTCCTTCGTTGTTCATTAGGTCACATCTGTTGGTCATGTCCAAAGGGTTCTGATGTCCTCCGGTAAAAAATAGTGATAATTTATATCGAAATTAATTAAGCAGGTGACAGTGGGTTGTCAAGCCAAAAATAGTTTCGAACGAAAAGGTGAGAAATAAAGAATAAGCAAGTGGCTGTAAGGCTTAATACTGATATTGTTTGAAAGCAGTAAATCAAATGTAGCAAATCAAGAGTTTAAGATCAGTCGGAACAAACGTAGCGTCTTCCCTAAAATCTAAGGTGGCTAGGACAAGTGTTATGCATGCCAAGCCGTTGAATTCCTTGTCAAGCAAGGTTGGCTGACATAAGATTCAACTGGAAAGGAGTTCGTGGTGGTCAAATCAGAACTTGGCACAATCCCCCTTTGATGTCTTCAGCTGTAGGCTCGAGTCACATAAGTAAGAGGAGACTGGCTTGCGTAGTCGTCAGGGCACTAAAAAGAAATGGCTCAAGGCCTCTGATGATATATCACAGAGTCGTTCTCAATGGCACAGATACCTTCACTCTCTTCGCACTCCTATGTCCATCAAATTACTAAAAAGATGGTTGCAGCGAAGGAAATTTTCTTTTCGACGAAGTCATCAACTAGGCTGTACATTCGTGTATTTATATTACATGTGTGAGTATGGTCCAGAATTATTTCCCGTCAGAGGTCAGATTAATGAAATTACTAAGTGTAATAAACAGAAGATGGGTGGTGGCACTGTTCTAGAAATATTTCAGGCCAAAGGTCAAATTAAAAATTACAATGTGTAATAATCAGGAAGATCGGGTAGAAAAGACAAAATAGGATTATAATTACTAGACAACTAGTCACTTTGTATAATTACGGGTTAAGAATGTAGTATTAACGTAATGGGTAGGAGGTTCGGACGTATAAAAAAATAAAAACAGTAACCAAATCAAATAATGCAGATAGGGATTGAAAAGGTAAATATAACAAATAATCGGTAAGGTTGGACAAGACAGGTTATGAGATAATCATTATTGGTGAGACTGACTTTTTCATGATGGCCACGGTAAGGACGACGGTTGGACCCCACTCCTTTTTCCTGTTTGACGTCCGTAAGAGATAATTTTTCTTGATATAAGTATAAAACTAGGGCACTGTGGTAGAGTATAGATAAGATTTTATTTTGATAAGTTACACAGTAATATTCACTGATGACCACGTTTCGAGCACAAATTATTGCTCATAATCACATCAAGTCACTACTCACACAACTTTTTTCCTTCATTTATATACATCTGTGGAATTGACTAGGTATTTGAATAAAAATCAGTATTAGATAATGTACATTCAGAAATAATAATATTAGTGTTATTCATCAATTACAATCAGATGGGAGATAAGACTAGTGTATTTATAGTCATAAAAATAAGTAACTTGGTAGAATGTTGTGATGTGTTTGAACTGAAATAGAATTTCAAGATTATTTATTATCCTCTTCTGATTTAACTGACGGTGATAAAGTCTTCCGTATTTCTGGTATTTGCATTGAGTCATTTCTGTTGCATGTGTTGGGTGTAGACTCGATGAACAAGGATTCAGTAATCAACCTCTCTCTCCACCTATCTAGATTACTTTTTAGAATTTTAACCCTCTCCCACCCTATTGTGTGGTTGTATGTTAGCGCATGCATTGCAATTGCTGAGCTTTTTTCTAAATTACTTATCTTCTCGGGGTCAACCATTCTTACCTTAGCTAAATTGTTATGCTCTGACAATCTGACTACCCCTGACCTACTAGTTTGACCTATGTAGTTGACCTCACAGTCATTGCATGGTATTTTGTAAATAAATGAACTGTAGTCAAGATTTGACAGAATAGTTCTATAATATTTGGGCGCCGAGTGAGAAGTAGACATTGTAAAAAATTAATTTGTAAAATCTCAGCGATATTGAAATGAGTGACTGTCTATATCTACTTATGGAGACGTTAAGACATTGTTTTACAACTTTTATCCGCAACACACAACACATACACACGTGTTTAAAGTGTTTAACAAAGGTAGATTATTTGTAAGTCTGAGGTCAAATTTTGATCACAACTCGTACAATTTTGTTTATTATACTTGTTAATATTGTTTTATAAATCATGATTGGACAGTTTTTAAAAACTAAAGATGTTCCTCTTATATAAAACCTGTTATGTTAATTTCGATTAATTTCCCTGAAGAAGTTCGGACCAGATTGCCGAACGAAACGTTGAATTACTCATTTCAATATCGCTGAGATTTACAAATATAATTTTTTACAATTTTTAATATTATTTTGTCTAATTGGGTCAACTGGGTCCTTTAACCTACAGAGCTTGTCTCTGAGTGAGTTTTTAGGTTTGAATTTTTCTTGACCTTCTGAGTTCTGTTTACCGTATTACGTCGTCACCTTTTCATTTAACCCCTTGTACACTAAGTAAAATTCCATTTACATTACAAAGTGTCAGTCAACATTCTTTGTCTAGTTTAGTAATTGGTAGTTATATTATAATCTCGGGGTATGTATGTATGTCTTGAAGAAAAAAAAAGCATTCACTTGTTTTCACGAGTTGCCTTTTTATAAATGGATTAATTTGATTTCTAAGGTTATGAGGTGTGTGCCTCTCTAGATTATTCTGATTGCAATCAATGTAGAAATTACCAGGGCATATCTATATGTAGATAGATATCATTCACTTGCGTGTATGATATCAGTTGTCAATCAGCTAAGCACTAATATTGTTTTGTATTTAGTTCACAATATGAATTACTGGAAAAGAATGGCATACATACATACATATGTCTATGCTTTTTTTTCACTTGTTAACTATACACTTTCTATGTAATAATGAGATGTCTTGATTGACTGACAAAGTTCGGTGCTTTTCACTGTTTCACCACGGGGGTATATATATATATATATATATATATATATATATATATATATGCAAGCTTCAGAGAATTTCAAGTACTTTTGTGAGCATTACAGTTTTTTTCCTAGTTATAATTGTGACTGAATGTGTCTCATTTCTTGACAAAGTTTACTTGAAAATTAAACAAATCTCCGTTATTTTCAAGTATTGGTTTTGTAAGGATTTTGTTTGATTGCATGGAGGATTTCATCATGAGCTGACATCAGTTGGAGAACCACTGGAGAACCTGGGAGTACTGGACGACTGTTTCGTCCCACTGATTTGAGACTCTTCATCAGTATGCACCTACAGCCAGGGTTCGAACCCAAGACCTTGTGGTTACAAGGCGATCTCGTAGACTGTTGAGCCACTGGGACCCTATCCAATGGCCAGCCAGTCCATGAATTCTAACTTCTGCCAATTCACGACATAGGGCGACCATTTCGAAATGTCTTCTTCGATGAGTTACTGCCTCATCTTCGACCTTCTGTACCCTACTGGTCTCCGTTGACCCAGCATCTGAATATATAATTTCTTGTAATTCTGATATGTTGTGTCAGTTTAAATTTGGCGATGGTGCGATAACGGATATCTGTGGATGTTGGAAAATCATAGGCTGTTATATTTCTTTTGAGCCGTGAAACATGCATACCTCATGATGCATAGAGCTGTAGCGTTTTCTTAGTTAGGGTGCTTGACTTTCAAATGTTGCGTCATAAATTCGAAGCCTGTCCCATCTAAAGAGTTTTTGGCAATCAGATTTGGTTGACAGGTAATTGCCTGGGAAAACAAGTGGTTGTTGAATATTATTTTATTCTGCGATGTTGTTGTGGTTGATGGCGACTATTGGTGGAATGCAGGAGGTACGTTTCGTCCTACTTTGGACTCATCAGCCAAATATACTTGCATTTCCAGTAAATGATGGTGTACTCACTGAGGCTCGAATTCTGAATCTATCGTTTTCAAAAACTAGGGACTATCCACTAAGCTGTGGAATACCACGAGAGCCATCTCTTGTGCAACGGGTATCAACTATTATTTGTTTATAGTAGTTTGCATTTCCTTTGATTGATTAAGCTAGACCGAAATATCTGGTCTCCAGCAGGGCGTGAGGATCGAGTATTTCTGTACTAATTTCTACATTGGAAGTGAGTCAGTCAGAGTCAACCTGAAAGATTCGGAAAGGCACTTCAGAATAGTCTCAAACTGGAAGCAAACGTCTGTCGTGTGCCATTTCGATTTTCATCAATCCATTTAACTGTAAACTCGGTCGTTAATTTAAATCTGCTCATCTAAATTATTTGTGAGAAAAACATGATTCATTGAACAAGAATTCTTAAGTCCAGTCAAGTATTATTGCATCATACATATATTAATTACATGCCAAATTGTTTTATTATTACTCCCTTGGGTTCTGAGTGGAACATACGGCTTCAACAGTATGTCCTCAGTTTTTTTCCTGTTCTCTGCAGTCCTCTTCAACTGGCTGGCTCCCCGACTGACCACAGTGGTACAGTGGTTAGGACTCTCGCCGACCATGCACATGGTCCGGGGTTCGAGCCCACGCCGACGCACGCCTGATATCTATGGTCGGCCTGCGAATTTTGGGCTACCGATATCCACGCTGAAAATTCCACACTTGTCGCAAAAGGAAGAAAAAAAAAAAATAAACTCTCATTTCCTTCTCGTACAACGTCCTCCATGTCACCCTTGGAAGTCTAACTCATCACCTACATTTTGGGTTCCGGTAATGCGTAGCTGGTGCGCTATGTCACCCAACAGTGTGCTCCCTGTTTGTCTAATCCATCTTCATTTTCTTCAGCATCTATGTTGGGCGATAGGTTTTTGAGTGGTTAATTCTGAGTTTCTTGTTGCTTACCCCTTCTGGTTGGCCACCTTATCTTCAATATGGAACGAAAGCAGCTGTCGACAAAAGCTTACAGTCTGTTGGAAACGTTTCTCTTGACGCATCATGTTTCTGACCCATATACAAAGGACTGAGTTAACATTGATGCTAGAAATCCGAATATTGTATCACTTGAACATATCCTCCTTATTCTTGAGGATAAGGAATGGATCAGATTTCTCTTTCTTCGCAAAGGGACCCAGCTACGGAAATTTGTGTACTGACCATTCCATGTTGGTTTCCTGTAGATAGATCTTTGAAGAGAACCATCAGATCTTCTCTTTAGAAAAACATTCAAAAAATGGAATTCCGAGTTAATCTCTGATTCCGACGTGAACTTGATGGCATGATGGCAGCTGCTGAACTCCTTAGTTATCAATTCGATGTCAGTATTGTCGTCACATATGATGAAAGTATCATCCATGTATCTTTGGTACAGATGGAAACTGTCGATAGTAGGCCGTAAAATACTATTCTTCAAACTAGCCAAGAAGCAGTCTACAAGTAAAGGACCCATTGGTGACCCAGTTGCTACTCCATCTCTTTGTCTATAAATCGTGTTGTTGAACTTGAATTGGACATTTACAGTACACCTCAAAAGTAGTTCCTTTAAGTAGCGGATCGGAACACATACGTCTACATTATTGTCCTCAATGAATTTGCATATAAAGCAGATAGTTTCAGTGAGGGGAACGTTGGTGAAAAGCGAAGTAACATCCATAGATATCATTTTCGTCCCAGATACATTAGCATCACTTACTGAATCGACGAATTCGAACGAATCAGAAACACTATGCTTGCAGAGGTTATTTATAATAGGCAGGAGGATTTCTGTAAGCCATTTGGCAGTAGCATGATATGGGGAATTTGTCATGTTCAAGGTTGGACGTAGTGGCATGTTCTCTTTGTGCACTTTCGGCAGACCATATAAGCGGGGAATCACGGAACCGGAGGGTCGTATTTGCTCGAATAATTCAGAGCTAATTATCGATTCGTTCTTCATATTCTTCAGCATTTGTGTTAGCTTGCTTTCAATTTTGCTCCGTTTGGTCTTTCTGGCTACTTTTTTTTGAAAATTTGTTTTCATCTGAAAAGACTGCTAACATTTTATCGATCATCACGTTCACGTCGAAATCAGAGATTAACTCGGAATTCCATTTTTTGGATGTTTTTCTAAAGAGGAGATCTGATGGTTCTCTTCAAAAGTCGATATACAGGAAACCAAAATGGAATGGTCAGTACACAAATTTCCGTAGCTGGGTCCCTTTGCGAAGAAAGAGAAATCTGATCCATTCCTTATCCTCAAGAATAAGGAGGATATGTTCAAGTGATACATTTGGTGGGGAACGGGAGCGACTCAGATAACTTCTCATAAATCCGATTATTGTTCATTATGCTGACTGCATCATATTTCTACATTGATTTTAGAGCAATGAGAATTTGTTGTGCTTTTCGAATTCCGGACTTTGACATTCTCATCCGTCGCGTTGGCACTGTACTGTGTATATAATTGGAAGAAGTGACTCCCTTCGTTTTTCATCCCTTTGTGGTGGTTGGTATGTGTTGTAGGTTGGTTGGTTATCATCATCGCTAACTCTGTTTCTGTATTCTGCATTGCTTAGTCTAGCTTAAATGCGGTGGTATTGTCTAATAATCTTTTCTTGTTTGTTATACTTTCGTTTTTCTATTTTTTCATTACACTCAGAATACCTGCTCTGCTTCAATGGCTTTTTCCCGAAATGCGTATCATACCGTTAGTTCCGTCGAATGACAACACCACTGCAGTGGATTCTAATGACTCTAATCTTACAAATACAAATACTACTACTACTACTACTACTACTATGACGACTACCCTGACTACTGCTGCTGCTGCTGTTATGAATAGCAGTTCTACGACGACGACGACAACAACAACGCCTTCTTCAATTGAAATCGAGAATACCACAAGTCCATTTATCCCATTAGGGCCACAATCTTTCCAGTGGGAATGTGTTTTTATGCCAGATAATGGTGCTTTTTTTGTTAATTATGTTATCACTGCAGCATTTATTGGTACAGCATTAGAGCTAGTTCGTTTCTCTGAATTAGTTAATTATGCCTGTCGATTAATGTGTGTTAAATCAGGTGCTGAAAAAGGCGGTGTACGAAAGGTAAGTGTAGTACTTTTTTTTATCTTCTCTTGTTGTGTATTGTATGTTATCTTTTGCGCTATATATTTCAATCATCTTAATGAATATTTGATGGAAATATTCACTTCAACACATTTTATACGCATTAGATGACTCTTGGGCGTCGGTGGTACATCAGTAGAATGCTCGCTGACCACGCATGTGGTTCGGGGTTCGATCCCCTGCCGACTCACTCTTTTGCCTTACTAAGCCAGTAATAAGACTAGTAAAGAGGGATGGTTGGGCATGAGACTAGCAACCCCTTCCCGTAAAGTCTAAACACCACTGCTACCGAAACTTCAAGTCTGTAACCGGAATCCCTATGTTCCAGTGGGACCGTAAAGGAATAAAAAAAGAGATGATAGCTTGTCTATAAAGGTATGCTTTTTTATCTATTCATATATGTCATATGTAGAGTTATCATTTTATTCTGCTGATCAGAAATGTCGATGCGGCTATTGCTTTCCGGAGCTCCACACCATGGGAATTGATTTCTTTTTAGAATAATTTGAAACAGAAAGAGCAGTAGTTTTATGTGGTAGCAGTATCCAAGGGACATCTTTTTGATGTCGATCATTTTGGTATGATATTTGCAGTTGTTTCCGTATACAGCTTCAGACCTCCACAGAGCGAATTCGTATGTGCAAGTGTCTGGGTTGACCTTTTTAACCTCTCTTCTTACAGTGGACAGGCAGCATGACTTGTTTGGTAGTCATTGGAGAGCTCTATCTTACTTTTGTAACATCTTTGTTGGCTAAAACTATGACTGCGCTTCTAGACCGTAAACATAGTGTGAAGAACTTATACCTTTAGTCTAACTGCTATCGAAGAAATCTCTCTGGTATGATTGGACTTGCACAAACATTTATACCAACTTGTGTAGCTTTTTATATCCTTCCGATAGACAAGAGTGATCACCACATGAACGCAGAAGCTATTGGTTGCACACTATACTGATCACTTATGAACATTTAAATGAATTCAGTCTGCACCAAACGAAGGGCTTGACGGATGATATTTGTTACTATTTAGTCTCCAATCAAAGTATTAACATATATACAGGATTTTAAATCCCGGGGTGGGGGGGGTCATCAATCAGTTTCAGCGACATTTCAGATACACCTTGCTTACAAGTGTTAATAAGTACGAAATCTAGGTTCAAAGCTCTTAGCTGATCCTCCTCGACCAGTTAATATTATTTCAAAGTGTACCGCTTTAACGAGTGTCTCAGCGTACTAACTAAACTGTTAACTTGACTGATAGAAATTAGGATTGAAACAATCAGTATATTCATCACAGTTCTGCAGTGAAGTTACTCATGATCCTGATTGGCTCCGTAGTAACATTTCTGATTACAGCACTCAATGACGAGAGTTCACATCTCTTTGCGGGGGGGGATCTAGGTATTAGTTAATTCCTTTGAAGATTCAAATACACCTTACCCCACTAGTGCGGACCAGGTCCTTTTACCGATAACCCCCAACCATCTAACTTTCAAGGCATTAATATTATCAAATGGAGAATTTCATTCACTCAATAGCCTCCAGATGAATTTCTCCACATCGTCTTTTGTTATTTTCAAGTATTGGTTTTGTAGGGATTTTGTTTGATTGCATGGAGGATTTCATCATGAGCTGACATCAGTTAGAGAACCACTGGAGAACCTGGGAGTACTGGACGACTGTTTCGTCCCACTGATTTGGGACTCTTCATCAGTATGCACCTACAGCCAGGGTTCGAACCCAAGACCTTGTGGTTACAAGGCGATCTCGTAGACCGTTGAGCCACTGGGACCCTATCCAATGGCCAGCCAGTCCATGAATTCTAACTTCTGCCAATTCACGACATAGGGCGACCATTTCGGAATGTCTTCTTCGATGAGTTACTGCCTCACCTTCAACCTTCTGTACCCTACTGGTCACGGCTTGCTACTAGAACTCCAGGTTAACTGCTTGAATAGGGCCAGTCACTAGTGAGCATTTTGTATATTATTTTCGAAAATCAGTATTTAGGTTGTCTGCTTATCCAATACCCTTTTACAGAATACAACATTGCTACACTGTATCATTTAGATGTATGTGTATTCCGGCTTTGTTTTTTACCCTGTTTGCGTATTTTCTTTATCTAGGCTAGTCAATTTGAATTTGAATTCGGCTTATTTTATGCTTGGAGTTTATGTGTATTTGCTGTGATATGCGCATACAGTATACTTTGTCCATTGATTACGCCATTTGGTAGGTTGAAAACTATTAAATGTACACTGTTTTACCTGTGCATAATAAACTTTCGTGTCGAGTGATATTGGCTTTTACATGGTGGTAAATATAGTTTTCACTAAGTGGACGAGGAGAATGCAGTAGAGCTACTATTAATGCTTTTGAAGGGTTTTATAATTAAACGTATTTTGAACAGTCTTTAGACTTGTATCAACAGGTGCCTTTGGTCTATGATGAAGATCAGCTGGACGGAACAGATAATTAACAAAGGACTCTGAGAAAAGAAACAACTAAGAACCTGATGTTGCTCAACAAATATCCTGAAGGAAATGAAGATGGATTGTGCACATGCTGAGGAGACCAATGACTGACTGCGAAACAGGCCCCGTAGTACAATCCAAATGGGAAAAATGATGAGTCGTACGTGAGTCTGGAGAATGTCGTCTGTGTATGGATAAAATTAAAGCTTACAGACAACCTCAGAGTCAGCTAAAACGGTCTGCAGAGAACAGGATGAGATGAAAATTTGCTATTAAAGCCACATATTTCTCTTGGAACATGGGAAGATGTTGATGATAATGATAGAACTCCAATTTTTGGACAACGATAGTCATTTGCCGTAACTGTTGTATTTAATGCTATTTGAAGTGACCAGATCTAGGCGTGTGACGAATTTTTTTGTCATTCTATATATGATTTGCTTTCCCGACATCTTGGAACGTTCTAGGTCACGGAGAATCACTGCGAAATGCGCAAAATAAGTCTATGTTGTATAATCTCCACTTTCATCAAATCAAGTGTGGGGCAGATATTCTTCAATGACATCAGCTGTGTCAAAAATTAGAATTCATAGCTTGTTCTACTGATCAATCGTAATGTGCCTGTGTAGTGACTTGATGGTCCTAAGCTCGATCTCCTCTAGTTTCGTGGCTGTGCACTTCTAAAGACCCCCTAGGTTAGGAAGAAAAATCTGCCCAGGACTACCTGATATTCAGTTTTCCAGTAACTGCTGTCTGTTGGCGGTGAATAAGACGTTCTTAGGAGGATGGTGACTGATATGGTTCAATAACTTTTATCTTTTTGTTACACCTTATCTGTTGTTTTACGTTACTCAGTTGATTTGTTGTACGTGTGCCTGTTTCATTTAGTTCTTTTTCTCTAATTACTGAGTTCATTTTAAAAGCTTGTACTAAAGTGAGAATGTATATTCAACTAGATTAAGTCTAAGCGATGGTAATACCTTGTTTGGACCTAATCAACAGTTTTATGTCTTATGGAATATTCTGTATAGTCAGATGAAATGGTCAATCTCACTACCGCCTTTTAATGATCAGTCAAGGAAGCATATGACTTTTATTGATGTTGACTACTGTAAATTCCCTCTTTGTTTGGATGTCTCGGTTAATCTTAACAGTCTGTAATGCCAGTGAAATGTCCAACTGCCCTTATAATAAACCGGTGTACTACTTTGTAGAGTTGTATGATGTTCCACCCTCTATGATTGGGACTATGAGACGACATGATTATTGTTAACAATGGAAGGTATGCACTGGGAAGAAGTTTTCGATCACAGTCATTTGCGAAACATTATTGTTGTATGATATTTTAAAGTTAGTTCATTTGCAGTCTGTGAAATTTATGCACACTTATTTACTTGGCTATTTGAAGTGCATAGACAGTTGAGTGAAGCAGTCAATCCATGGCCTAATCTTGACTCCACTCCACCAAAATTTCAGTCGTTAAAACAACCCATTATCAACACGACCATACAGCATCAAAGAAAAGCATTTAAGGATTTCATCATGAACTGACATTGGTTAAAGGACAATTGGAAAACCTGGGAATACTGGACATTTGTTTCGTGTTAGTTTGGGGATCTTCAGTGACACAAATCCACTTAAGTATTGATATTCAATCAACCTGATGCTCACTAGTGACTGGCCCTATTCAGATAGGTAGTTACCTGGATTCTAGTGGGAAGTCGTGACGAGTGGAATACAGGGAGTCGAGTGTGAAGACAAATAATCGTCAAGGATGACATTCGAAAGTGGTCGGGCCATATCGTGAATTGGCAGAAGTTGGAATTCACGGGCTGGCCATTGAATCAGGTCCCAGCGGCTTTATGGTCTATGAGTTCACCTTCTAATCAGAAGGTCCTGGATAGTGGGTACGTACTGATGAAGAGTCCAGAACCAGGGTGAAACAGCTGTCCAGTACTCCCTGGTGATTTTCCAATGATCCTCTAACCGATGTCAATTCATGATGAAATTCTGAAACGAATCAAATCCCTGCAAACTAACACTTGAAAGGCACTTAAGTTAGTCCCTATGCAAAAACTCAGATAAATAATAAGGATTAGATCAAAAGGAGATGTGCACATGTTAGGACTATGATATACAGGTCAGGAGAAAGCGGTACTAATTACAATGTTAGGTGAAGTATCCAAAGAAGTAGTAATTTTGTAAGTAAATTCTTCTTGGTGGGGTTTCTAAGTCAGTGATGACTCTGCTACAGTGGCAACTCGGTCTGATCTATTTCATTGCGAATTTCACACATTGGCCCGTCTGTCTGTCTGTCTGTCAGCGATCATTCGAAGGCACTCTACTCATACTCATACAGCCAGGTGAGGGCCTACGGCGAGTTGTCATCTGAACTGGTGACGACTAGTGGTGTCCGTCAAGGATGCCCATTATCCCCTTTTCTATTCAACTTCATCATAGATGTGTTAATGGACTTAACCCTAAGTGACTTCAGCGACTCAGGGATTGATTTGCTACCGGGGAATAATCTCGTTGACTTGGAATATGCAGACGATATAGTCCTTCTAGGCGAAGACGCTGACAAAATGCAGAGTCTTATGAACACCTTGAGCCGCAATCTACGGATGTTTGGCATGCGATTCGCTCCCGCCAAATGCAAGATGATGTTACAGGACTGGACTACACTGACTCCTAGTTTAAAAATAGGATGTGAAGTGGTAGAGCACGTTGACCGCTTCACTTATTCGGGAAGTACCATCAGCCAGTGCTAACGGGTTGATCTCTGACGAAATCTCAGCGCGAATACAGGGGGCTCGTTTCGCATTTGCCAGTTTACACCGACTCTGGCGTAGACGAGATTTTCGACTATCGACCAAAGGGCGGGTGTACTGCTCATCAGTCCGCTCCGTCCTCCTCTATGGTTGTGAGACCTGGCCACTGAGAGTGGAAGACATGAAAAGACTAGCTGTCTTTGAGCATAGGTGCCTGCGCTCTATTCCCCGTGTAAAGTGGCATAATAAGGTGAGCAGCATTGAAGTTAGGCGTCGAGTGCTAGGTGAACAGGGGAAATCAATCGACGAATTGGTGAAGTTACAAAGACTGAGATGGTTAGGACATTTGTTACGTATGCCAAGCCATTGCCTCCCTCGACGAGCTATGTTAGCGGATGTAGGGTCAGGCTGGAAAAAAGCTAGTGGCGGTCAAACAAAAACTTGGCACCAGTCAATGAAATCCACAACAGTTAATCTAAGCCACGTAGGAAGGTGTAGACTTCCAGGCTGGGGTCCTCGGGACGGTAAAAATCTATGGTTGGAAACAATTGGTGACATGGCTCAAAATCGTTCTCAGTGGCGCAGATGCATCCACTCCTTGTGACTTATGATTTCCAATGAAACTACATTGTTCTTCGTTACTATTATTCCTTTGTCTCACACCTCTGCTTACTGTCTCTATTATGCTTTTCTTGTACTTTCTTCTCTTGCTTTGTGTGCTACATGGAGTGTGGCGACTCGAACTGTCGCATATTAGTAGAAAGTTCTATGTCGAAAACAGACAGACAGATCATTCCAAAATACGTGTATATTGTAAGTCAGCGATCCGTGGAATAGGTTCTGCTTCACTCAGCCGACTGTCTTCATTATTAAAACTGAAGAGATAACTTCTTTGTGATGATGAAGTTTTTTTCAGTTACTCAGTATAGTTTTGTGTTATTCTTTGTGGCACATCTGTCGTGGTCTAGAGTCGGGAAGATGGAGTGGGTTTCGAACCCAAAGGCCCATCAGTTGAAACTTGAGTTTACAGTCATTTAACTGTATCGGTGTATCAATGTTTAAAAAAGGGTGTTAAGGAATCTTGACACCCTTTATAGAATCAGTCTCTTACTTTTAATGTAAAATGGTGGATTTGAATTGATTGTACATTAGAGACTGACCAATGTTATCTGTCTAGGCCTTAATGTTTTGATACTAGGTGAATTCTACCAGGGAAGCTTGCATTGCAAACTCTCTATCGATCATCAAGAGCCGCTTAAGAAGGTAGGTTTCATTGTACTTAAAAGGTGTGAAACCGCATCATTTTATGTCATGATGTCATATATTTTCGTTTTATTCTATATAACACTGAATATTATTATTATTATTTATTATTATTGTATCCTTTAGTTCCTAGAGGAACATAGGGCTTCAGCTGCGCACCTCCATTGACTTCGGTTTTCTGACAACTTTTTCACCCTGCTCCAGGTCTGCCCACATGCTTTCATCTCCTCTTCACATGACCTCCTCCAAGTCACCCTTGGACGACCAACTCGCCGCCTCCCTTTCGGGTTCCACTCGAGGGCTTGTCTAGTGATGTCACTTGATGGTTTCCTCAGCGTATGGCCAATCCATCTCCATTTCTTTCTGCCTATTTGTTTCACAATCGGTTCCTGATTGGTTCGCTCCCAGAGATCCCTGTTGCTGATCTTTTCTGGCCATCTGATCTTGAGTATTGAGCGGAGACAGTTGTTAATGAAGGTTTGAAGTTTGTTTGAGATGCTCTTTATGACTCGCCAAGTCTCTGATCCGTATAGTAGCACTGACTTCACATTGGAGTTGAAAATCCGGATCTTATTTTTGATGCTGATTGCTGTTGACCTCCACACAGATTTGAGAGTAATGAAAGCTTGTCTTGCTTTTCCGATTCTGGCTTTGATGTCCTCGTCAGTTCCGCCTGTAGTTGAGACGATGCTTCCCAGGTAGGTGAAGGAGGTTGTTTCTTTCAGGTTCTTCCCATTTATGCTTATTGTGGTCTGTTGTTGCTGTTGATGTTGGCAAGGAATCTTCATCATCTCTGTTTTATCTATGTTCACGTGAAGTCCTATCTTTGATGCTTCTTCTGCCAACTTGTTACTTTTCATTTGCATATCTTCCAGTTTATGGGAAATCAGACATATATCATCGGCGAAATCCAGATCCTCCAAGTCTTTTGTGTCAGTCCATTTTATGCCTGTTCCCTCGTTGGTTGCCGTTGTCTGTCGCATTATCCAATCAATTGCAATCAGGAAGATCATTGGTGATAGTAGACAGCCTTGCCTCACTCCCGTCCTCACTTCGAAGGCTTCCGTAAGTTTCCCGTTGTGGATTACTTGGCATGCAGCATTGTCGTATAACTGTTGGATGAGGTGTATAATTGTCGATGGGACCCCGTAGTAGCGAAGTAGTTTCCAAATGACCTCTCGATCGACGCTGTCGAAGGCCTTTTCAAAGTCGATGAAGTTGAGATAGAGAGGTGACTGCCATTCCAAGCTTTGTTCAATGATGATCCGTAGAGTGGCGATTTGATCAATACATGATTTGTTTCTCCTGAATCCAGCCTGTTCCGGACGAAGTTTTTCATCTAGGGCTTGTTTGATTCTCTCCAGGATGATGCGACTTAGTATCTTGCTTGGAATGGACAGAAGCATAATTCCACGCCAGTTTTTACATTGACTTAAGTCTCCTTTCTTTGGAAGTTTGAATAAGTAACTGTTCTTCCAATCCTCGGGTACTTTGCCCTCTTTCCACACCTTCTCCAGTAGTGGTGTCATCAAGTCCGCTGTTGTCTCTGGGTCTATTTTCAAAGCCTCTGCTGGGATTCCATCTGGTCCCGGTGTTTTCCCAGTTTTAAGCATCTTGATTGCATTCAGGACTTCTGATTTCGTCGGGGGGTCAGTGTTCACTGGTAGTTCTGCTTCCGTTGTTGGTATTGCTGGACGTGTTGTAGGTGGCGGACGATTTAGAAGTCTTTTGAAGTGTTCAACCCAGTGCTTTCTCTGTTCCACCTCTTTGGTGATTGACTTTCCATTGTCGTCCTTTATTGGCTTAATCTGTGTCGAACGTTTGCCCGAAAGGTTCCTAGTTGTTTGGTAGAGTGTGGCGAGGTCTCCTTTGCCTGCAGCTTGTTCTGCTTCGTTTGCCATGGTTTCATAATATTTTCTTTTGTCTTCCCTGGCACTTTTCTTCACTCTTTTGTTCAGTGTATTGTAGCTTGCATTCAGCTCCTGTTTTTGTTGCTCGTCCGTGCACTGGATAATCTTTTGCTTCACTGTCCTTCTCTCTTCTATTAGTTTCCAAGTGTCCGTAGTGAGCCACTGTTTGTCCTGTCTCTTTTTTCTGCCTAGAATTTCTATGCAGGTTTGGCTCCACACCGTTTTCAAGTTGTTCCAGTGCTTTTCAACGCCGACCTCTTCGCTAGTGTTGATTTGTGTCTCGGCTTTGTCCTTTATGCTTGCAATGAAGATGTCCTTTGTAGCCTGGTCCTTCAGCTTTTGAGTGTTGAACTTGGCTTGTGGTCTATCTGCAGCTCCTGATTCCCTGAAAGCTTTTAATTTGATTTGGATTGTCCCTTGTACGAGATAGTGGTCTGAGCCAACGTCTGCTCCTCTTCTTGCTTTTGTGTCCAGTAGGCTGCGCCTCCACTTCCTTGAGATTGAGATGAAGTCGATTTGGTTTTTGGTTTGCCCGTCTGGTGACACCCATGTAGCCTTGTGGATATCTTTGTGCTTGTATACACTGCCACCAATCACCAGTTCGTTGAAGGCGCAGAAGTCGGCGAAGAGTTCTCCGTTTTCATTCATTTCTCCTAGAGCTTCTCTACCCATGATGAGTTCCCTTCCCGTATTGTCTGGTCCCAGTTTGGCGTTCATGTCTCCCATTAGTATTTTCATGTCGCCAGCTGGAGTATTGTCCATTGTTGCCTGTAGTTGCCTGTAGAATTCTTCTTTCTTCTCGAGGTCTGCGTTGTTTGTGGGTGCATAACATTGTATGATTGACACTTTCCTTCCTTTGGAGTTGAACCTGGCGGTCATTATCCTGGACGAAATCGCCTCCCATTGTATCAGGGCTTTCGTTGCCGTTGGTGACATCATGATAGCCACGCCCTCGGTGTGCGTGTGGTTATCTTCTGGGTGACCGGAGTAGATCACTGACTCACCTGTTGACAATTTGGTGAGTCCACTCCCATTCCATCTGCTCTCACATATTCCCAGCACTTGTATTCCGTATCTTTTCATCTCGTTGGCGATCTGGGCAGCTTTTCCAGTCTCGTACATAGTTCGGACGTTCCATGTTCCTACACAGACTTTTTCTTTTGGTGCAAGGAGGTTCAGCATACTGAAGATTCTGTAGCAATTTTTGTTTACAGGGTGGGGTTGCTAGCCTCACGCCTGAGAAAAGAATGATTACATTAAGTAAAAGTTTAGAGAGAAGCAACTTTTTGGGTTGCTCCCCTCAAAATCAGAAAATAACGGACAAACAATGAGAACAACATCAACAAAGGAAACAGTTCACAGAAAAAAGGGCAAAAAGCGACGACAACTATACAATAAGACAACATGCAATATAGTTCAGTACATGTAACTAAAATGATATCTTAACCATAAACTCACTGACTTGGAGCAACTTGAACATATAAATCCAACAATATATACAATTATAGATGTGTTTATGTTTAAAAATTCCACAAATCCAAACAGTGAGTTATGTGTATTATCTGTCAATAAGATTGTATTTTTTGGATTCAGTGTTCGAAAGGTTAATAATTGTGATAATTTCCGCAAACACTTTGCATAAAATTTTAGAGTAATAAGATATTTTATTTATGACCAAAATGTAGCGTAATAGTCGAAAAGCGCTTGTTGTCTAATATCCCTGTGTCTCTTGATTTCTCTATTTAATCCAAAACTTATTTCTTGTATTTTCAGGGTTAATCTATCTAATAATGAAGTATTTTGTCGAACGTTATAACCTTTATTATGCCTATCTACCTAGTCGTATTGATTCACACATTCATTGGCTTGCAATTAGTTGTATGCTGGCGGCTGTTTTCCTACTACAATTGAATATATTCATGTTTATTGTACTACGTGCTGATACTGTCAGTCATGCTTTAGTCTTGTGTTCACTTTTGGGATTAATATTCTCAGCATTATTATTAATATTTACAATTATTACTGGATGGGTATTAGCTGGAAATAGTTCAGCGCGTAAATATCTCCTACGATATGCAAGTCATATACCTGTCAATGAACATGAATTCGATGATCACCAGAGTCAATTTACGCGGTCGAGTAGTTTGAATTCTAAGAAACAATTCAAAAATAGTATACCGAACACAGTAGGTCATGTATATTTTGGAGTATTTATTATTTTTCCTTTTTTGTTTTTGGTAAATATTGTGAACATATTTACTGGAAACTCAACTTGACAAGTTTTCTGGGGGGTAATTACGTCAATCTACTTGTAACTTGGTTATCTGTTCGTTGGCTTACAGAGAGTTGTGTGTGTGTGCGTGTGTGTATCGTACCACAATCCACTCTGTCCTTGAGTCTTCTGAACACCTCGAGCAGCAATCTTCGTATGTTTGGCATGCGATTCGCCCCTACAAAATGTAAGATGCTGCTACAGGACTGACTGGACTACGTCAACTCCTAGCTTAGTGATAGGGAGTGAAGTGATAGAACATGTTGACCACTTCACTTATTTGGGAAGTTGTATCACCACCAACGGACTGATTGGCGATGAAATCTCAGCACGGATCCGAAAAGCTCGAGCTGCTTTCGCTGACTTACACCACCTCTGGCGTAGGCGTGACATCCGGCTACCAACCAAGGGACGTGTGTACTGCTCAGCAGTTTGCTCCGTCCTTCTCTATGGCTCTGAAACATGGCCAATGCGAGTTGAAGACATGAAAAGGTTGACTGTTTTTGATCATAGATGTCTACGATCTCTTTCTCACGTTAGGCGGTATAATAAGGTAAGTGATGTTGACGTTAGGCGTAGAGTGTTGGGCAAACAGGGAAAATCAATCGACGAGGCTATAAAGTTACATAGATTGAAATGGCTAGGTCGGTCACGTGCTGCGCATGCCTAACCATCGCCCCCCCCGACGGACATTACTAGCTGATATAGGTGCAGGTTGGAAAAGAGTAAGTGGTGGCCAAACAAAAACATGGCCTCATCAATCCATGAAATCCTTGACAGTTAAACTGAGTCAGGTAGAGAGATGCAGACTTCCGGGTTGGGGCCCTCGGTACTCTAAGAATCAATGGCTGGAGACAATAGGTGACATGGCTCAAAATCGTTGTCAATGGCGCAGATGTATTCAGTCTCGGTAATCTTTCGTATTCCTTTCTACCACTAACCATTCTGTTTCGCTGTTATACTTGTCAAACTCTATTGATTCTCTCCACTCATCTTGTTGTCTACCTTTGTGTTCTACTTGGAACGTGGCAACTCGAACTGGTGCACTTCGGTGCCAAGTTCTATGTTGGATCCAGACAGACAGAGAGACAGACCACTTTGTCCTACTCTACTGCTGTAATATATGTCCACTGAAACTAGAGGGTATGGGACGATTGAATATATATCACCGTTCACGTGCTCATATAAGATGAAGCAACATGATAAGCAATAATAGAATTCAGAGTGAATGAAGAGGGAGACTCGGTCGACGCTGGTTCTGAATCTGTAGAAGCTAAGGCGGCTGGGACTTGTGTTAGGCATGGATAGTTGTGACCTTCCTCACATGACAACGTTAGCTGAACTGGTGTTTTACTGAAGAAGAATCAGGAGTTTTAAGCCTAAGAAATGACGTGAATTCGTTGAAGAAGAAAAGCCTGAGTCATGTAGTGAGGTGTAGACTGCTTGACTAGGATTGTCGAAAGGTTTTGTGCAGAAGTATATTCACACTTTGTCTTCCTTTTGTCCCTCAAAATATGTGCCGTTTTGGTGTTCGGTCTCTTAAATTGATGTATTTATGTAAAACTTCAAGCTGTTAAATCATATAGGCTAACAAATCTTTTGTCACGGAAGTTGTATAAATAAGTAGAAATGTGCGGGATAAAGAATACTGGGATATAAAAAAGATGCTTTAGTAACTATGGGAGATCACAAAGATCACGACAAGTCAGTAAATTCGCGATAATCAAACTGCAGTCCCGTGAATTGACTTTACTCTCTAATGACTAATATGTCATATTCAATTTTCGCATTAATCTTAGTCAGTAATGATTAGAGAAATTAAACTACTCTATTCAACTAGGAAGTACAAAATTAGATGGGGGAAGGTTGCCCGTCCAGGATTCCACTACTAACAACCAGATACACTAATCAATATTAAACTCGACATTGAATACACACACAGTCATTTGATTGGCGAAATAAACGGTGCGGATTAATGACAATTGAATAATCCTCATATATCCACACAGAAACTTTCTATGTAGCACTGATTCATCTGAGCTTGTATTGTACAAAATCTCATAATAGTCAATCAGCACAGTTACCTCGTACCGAACTCATTCTTCAGGCCAACTGGTTGGTTTACGTAACTCTCAAGCAAGTGTGGTTAACAGTCTGATATATAAATAGTCTTCTCCAGCTAGTGGAATTCCGACAGAGTGCCGTATCTATGCAGATCGCTTCCAAAGCAATAGCTGACGATTAGCAGTTGAAAAACGCACATGAATCATTCCCCTTACCATAAATACATATACACTACACGATTCAAACTTTCATAATAACTAAAACATCTGTGTTTGATCCGGCCGACTGACTAAGTTTCAACACAGAACTCCTCACAGAATTGCAGCACTTCATGCTGTAACTTTCAAAACATACATAAATGCAGAGTAACTAAAGGAAAAAGAGATTCAAAAGAAGTAAAATAAACAGAAATCTGCAGGAGAAAGAAGAGTAGGTTGGGAAATCAAGACAGTTTAGTGGATATGGGAGAGGTTACAGAGAGTGAAATCATCTGAGCCATTGACAACAATTTTTAGCAATATCATCGGTGGCACAGTGGTTAGAACTCTCTCCGACTATGCACATGGTCTGAGGTTCGATCCCCTGCCAACGCACACCTGATATCAATGTCTGGCCTGCAAAATTTGGGCTGCCGATATCCCTGCTGAAAATTCCATACTTGTACCAAAGCACAGTGTGTAATCAAAAATAAAAAAATAAATAAATCTCAAGCGATTAGTTCTTAGCATTTCAAGGAACCCAATCAGACAGTCTACACCTCTTTAAATGACTCAAATCAACTATCAATAACTTCATGATTTAAGTGTGACCACTCCTAACCCTTTTCCAAATCCATGATATTGTTAGCTAACATTCCACAGGAAAGCAGTGACTTGTCATATGTAACACGTGTTCTAGCCGTGTAGCTAGGATATAGCTTCAAAAAATCATTGATTGACTTCTCTTCCTAACGTAGCACTACGCTATGCTTCAGTATTATTCAACATACTATGTTGCTGATAACGGGAGACAGAATACAGGCATTAAAATTAAATGCATAATACAATAGAAATTAAATTTACCATATTGTAAAAAGTTTCAATTGCACACAGTTGTTTTATGCTAAATAATTGTTTTTGCTACTGTACAGCATACCAGCTGTGACTCGTCTGGTTGCCTAATCAGGTTCACATTTTTCACTGATTCAGCCATTTTTTTGTCATCGTGAAATTTTAATTCTATGCACTGATAGTTTGACCAAGAAATAATTAGGCGGAATTCGTTGTTTCCAATGCATTCGGTTATGTCAGCTGAGTCAGTCTGGTTATAAACCCTTAAAAGAATAAAAATTCGATCTGACTGGCAAACATCACTGTACAGCCTGAGTGGTTGGAAACTACTCATACTAATCAGTAGTATGTATCTTGTTTTGGTAGTAGATGAATACGGTGTCTTTTAGGTGTATGCATTCGTAATTGTGGATGAAACTACACCACCTTTCTTTATTGCTCGCCTTCAAAGTGGGACATAGGGCTTTGAACTGTGAAGTTTCAACAATCACGGTGTTGTATTTACGACATGTGGTCTCTGGCTCCACTCACAATGTTCTCTCTTTTTCCAGCCCCTTGTTGACCAGTAAAATAGGCGAAGCTTGGAAGTATCTTTGTCGGGAATCGAACTCAGACCTTTCACGTAGTATTTTTAAGGACAAATTGTACGTATTTCGTGATTAAACGTATTTATGTATATTTCTACTTTTTTTGATAATATTTGTAGATAATTGTTTTGACCTTGTGACCCTTTCAATGTTTCGTTTTAGATGGATGATCAAAACTCTATTACAGATCATAATGATGCCTCGATACGTGTAGGCATGAATGCTTTTGATCAGATAACACCACGATTAGATGTTGAATTACAACGACCGACAAGCATCGATTTAACCAGTGGTCCTAGTTCAATGCAAATACTTAGTAGACAAGATTTGCGTAGAAATTCATGCCTTGAAAGATCTTATTTGAATTTAGACAATGAATTATTAGTAAATCCACAATTTGTTGCTCCAGTCCTATTGAATATACATCAACGCGTCACTGCATCTCGTCGGCCTAGTGCACTATCTGTCACTAGTCATGTATATGAGAATAGTCCAGATAATCAAATCGATTCACATGGTCATAATCTTCAACGTGGATAGATAAAAATCCTGTCTTCTAACTGCTTATTGTCAATAGTATCCTTGTCAGTACTGAACCGGTTGTGTATTTCTGTCATGCTTTTCTGTCTGTCTTATTTTTGCCCTTGTACATTATTTATTATTCCCATTGATATCATCGGCGTTTCTAGTTCTGTGTATTCTATCCATCGCACAAATGTGAATTTATTCTGTTTTGCTGTGATTAATGCTTGATATTCAGAAAATCTGTGAATATTTGCCTACCTCTTCGTCGTATTCTTCTCCTTCTCCTCATTTGTTATCGTTTCTCTCCTTCACATATCCTTTTTTTTCTCCAACGCCTATTCTTTTGTATCCGCGCCTTACCCCCACAACACTCCGACAAATCGATCATTGCCTTTTACTTGCCTAATCAAGTCAAATAACAAAAAGTATTGTAGTACTTGTCATTTTTGTTGTTGATACAGCTATCTTTACTGAAGTATATGCTTATACATAGTGTATTATTCTCTGTCTGTCTGTCTGTCTCCTCAATGTCTATGCGCGTTTGCCCCTGTTTTTTTTAAAAAACAATAAGTGTAGCGTTTGTCAAGTATTCACTTAGCATTGAACATTGAATGCATATTGTGTGTTTCATTCGTTGTTTACAGCATGCATCCATTGCTTGTTTAATTGTAATTATTACTATTATTGTTACTATTTGTGGTATTATTTCTTTTTCTCGTCAAAATATTTCAATTATTTTTCTATATAATTATATGATGATTCTTATTGTCTAAATAAATAACTAGACAATTTTGTTTAACATCAAATCTTCTATGCTTTTTTGTATTAAACGTCATGCTGTTGGTCATTTTGTATGTGTGTGTGTCTGTGTTGATAAAACCGCAATCATTGTTGTACCCAGCATCATAAAAAAACTGATAATGTCGTCCATCATTGGGGTTTCCCCATGCATTATTTATTATTTTGTATGTAGCGGGCTAATGTTTCAATGTACAATGTTTGCTACACCTAGTGTTCAATGTCCAAGTTGAACGATGTTTAGATAAATTGTCACATGTGTGCTTACCTTTAAATGCTCTTTGCCATTTTTGGTGTGTGTGTGTGTATCTATGATCGTGATTATTATTATCTTTCTGTTGAGAGGTTTCGATTTATTTTCACATAGATCCATAGAGTTACCTTTTCCTACTGTAAAAGATCGAATATTGAAAATCCATGAATAAGAGAATATTGTGCTTACTGCTTTGTTTTATTTGCTTTTGAAGTACACCAGTTACAACATTGTTTACTGATGACACTCAGTGTTGAGTAAAACAGTATGATGGGCAACGTTCAACGATAGCGTGTCCCAGGAGTACGAACGCACGACTGACCTTCAGCTGACCAATCATAAAAAGGAGGAATGTTTGCTCAAAAAATGATGTATATTGACAAGAAAATGCTTGAATTCAGTTCATGGAAAATACCCATATGCACATTAGATTGAAAAGAACAAGAAGTTCAGCAAACTGATATCCGTCTTTTCGGCGATTTCATTCTCAAAAGCTGCACAATCGCATTTATATAGATTAGTTTACATGGATACAATCGTCTTTGTTTAATTCCACATAGTAACGAAGGTGACAATAATTTTCAACTTGATATGAAAGTTTGAAAGGTACGAATACAGATTACAAGGGGCTTAGAGGCAAGATTTCATAGAATTAGAAAATAGTTACAACGTATGCAAAAATTAATATTTGATAATTGGAGAATTAATTTTAAAGGCGAATGAAAGGTGATAATTGTTTTCAACTTGATATGAATAACAAGAGGTTTAGAGACGCAGGGGAAGAACGAATTACAGTTGTGAACAAAAATGAGCATGGAAACAAATTGAAATCAAAATTTTCAACTTGAAATGTTAGTTAGGAGGTATGAATATCGATTACAAGAGGCATAGAAACAAAAAATTACACCGGATTAGAATATAATTGTAAAATGGTTATTCTAAACGGATTACAAGTGTGATCAGGAGGAGCATGGAAACAAACTTAAAATAACTGTTTTTATAACTGAAAAAAAATTTAGGTTAATTTAATGAAGACTGAGGGAATAAGGATCAGACACACGGCGAACGAAAAAATGCTCAAAAGGAAATGAGAGAACGAAAAAAGGAGGAAGAAGAAAAAGAAGCGGAAGCAAAGGGAACATACCAAACTAGGTCCATGGTAGTTGGTTGCAGACGTTGGACTAATTTCTTTTGAACACACAGCTCCGGCTTCTCGATGCATATTGCGAGGGCTTCTGCATTTCAATTTTTTACCATGCTCATTTTGTTCACACCTGTAGTTCGTTCTATCCGTGCGTTTCTAAGCCTCTTGTAATTCATATCAAGTTGGAAACAATTATCACCTTCTATTTGACTTAAAATTATTTCTCCAGTTATCAAATATTAATTTTTGCATACGTTGTAACTATTTTCTAATTCTATGAAATCTTGTCTCTAAGCCCCTTGTAATCTATATTCTTACCTTTCAAACTTTCATATCAAGTTGAAAATTATTGTCACCTTCGTTACTATGTGGAATTAAACAAATAATAATTGTATCCGTGTAAACTTATCTATATAAATGCGATTGTACAGCTTTTGAGAATGAAATCGCCGAAGAGACGGATATCAGTTTGCTGAACTTCGTGTTCTATTGTTTCTAAAATGTTTGAAAACGCATTAAACAGGTTATCTTTCTCTGACATGACTTAAAAATACGTCCTAGTTGTAACGAGGAGTATCATTTGCTTAGTTAGACTAGTTTCTGTACATGTGTATTAACCGAGATGACTACAGATAAACTGTTTTTGTAAATCGTTTATCTCTCTCATCCTGCTGTGCAGTCATCCAAAATAGCCATCGGTTGAACTGTTATGGTTTCCAGCAAGAGGATATACGACTGCTTACCAGGAAAACGTGGATAATAAAACAAATTACAATAAATTACATCAACTATAAATCTATCCCTAATTGTAACTACAAGCTTATTCCTGACCCTAACCTTAATCCTAACCCCAATCATAACCCTTATCCAAAGCGTAATTCTAAACCTAATGCTAATTATAAACCTGATCCTAACCCTAACGAGCTATTAATACATTGCCCAAACATTAGTTAAAAACGTGATCTGAGTGAAATTCACTCCTAAGTTGGTGAATAGCGTTGATATTTCAGCTATGATGATGATAGATGCCGTTAGCCAACGACTAGCATGCGTTCAAGGTCATTAGAGTGTTCACACTCCTGCGACACTATTGTTGAACTTCGCCGTATGATGTTGTTTGGTGGATGATGATTGGTAGTGGTGTGGTGAGAGCAGGCTGCTAGCCGATTGGTTGGCACTAATCTACGTTAAGGTCTAGGTCACTAATATGGGCCGTGAGAAAATATGAACAAGCCTGAGTCAACAACCAATCACAGCAAAGTTAACGTGGCAGAATATGATTCGCAGAGAGAACTCTATTTGTCAAGGAATCCCGAAACAACCAATCAGAAGCCTGCGTTTGTCTACCTAAACAACCAATCAGATGACTGCGCTTGTCTATAATAATGTAGTTGAAAGATGTATAAATACGCGTTGATTTTCATAATAAAACGATCTGTTGCCTGGCCCTTGTCTTCTGTTGTTACAGTGGGATTCGCGTAGAATTCGCCTTTCATTCTATTTCAGACTCGTTAACTAGATGTAACTGCAATCCCCCCAGTGAGTGATGGTGTTTCCACTAAGACTTTAATTTCCGGGCACCCATCACTTCAAATACCAAAGTGTTAATCCACTAGGCCATTTGGGAACACTATCACTCACTCACTCACTGAGGATTTCACGTACATCTAGCTGATGAGTCCCAAATAGGATTCTACTGCTAGTCGTCATCCTCCAAATAACACCATGTTGATCCTTAGATATCGTTGAAGTGTCCTTATTTTGGAGTATAGCCTGAATATTCCCATGAAGTCACATCAAAAGAAGAGGTATTCAGAGAAGAGTTGCTTTTTCGAGCGATTTCACTCTCAGTACGTGTCATCATCACATATGCATAATACGTTGTCAAAGCAGTCAAATAGGTATTTCCAAATGTGTTTCATTGTAGTATTAAGATCTAGGTAACAAGTAAGCATGAATTAGATAGAGTTGATAGAAAATTCCAGTGACTTGACATAATTGACAGGAGTGAATAGGTTTCAGATAAAATTGAAAGAAAGTCAACTCAAGATCAGTGTCCTAAAGAGATTTAGTATAATAGTGGTAAAAGAAAGAGATACAAAATTACTGCTCAAGAGGTTTTATAAATCAGGTACGTAATAAGTTCATTGACTGAACAAATTTGTTCAGTATTTAGAGTTTTGACATAAGCATACAGATTACCATATCTTCTATGACTTCAGAAAGTTTGATTTGTACACCTTTTGCAATGTTCCCAAGTACTCTGTTGACGACTCTGAATTTACTTTGTTCATTCACTTGGTGTCTAGAATCAGTTAGATGTTACAGAAAATGAAGATAAATGCTCAATGGTAAATATAGATGGAAAATGCATAGTGCAACCTACATACCTAGCTTCATAGGAGCAGGTGAAGTGATAGATGCACATTGATGAGTCCAGTAGTGGTAGCTTATCTCCTAAACGTTCTTTAAGATCATTGGTTTTTTGGAAAGAAGGAGGTTTCCTTTAGCAACAGGGATAAATGGTCTCTAGTTTTTCTGCAGGTGAGTCCGTGCGTTTGGAGTAGCCATTTTCAATCGGAATCCTTCTTTAGAGCGCTCAGCTCATCTTCCATGTAAATAAGGATTACGTAAATGAGTGAGAGAATCAAGTTCCGTTTTATATGTAAAAGTACACTATTGTGAAAGTGCGTGTGATGCCTGCCTATGGACGAGTCATCTCATTGTCTTTTGTTCTTCTGAAGTACTGCGATTTTCAGTCTTACCTCCATTATGAAAGGAGAACTTTCCGATTCGATGTAATGCGCTGAGCCTTTATCGTGCATATACCCGAATGAAAAATTGAATATACATACGGGACTGTGAATAAAAGAGGTTCTTTAAAAAATTCACTATCAGTTTAATCATATATATGATGTCCCTCGAGCTAATTTGATTTGCTAAAACGCATACTGCTATTCATTCATCTTACAGAGATAGTTTCACCATATGAACACTACCTAATTTGTCAGTATCTGAGGGTTCATAGTGGAGTGCCGAGCAACTGCAAATGTGTTTCTAGTGTCGTCCGAGTATGACACATTCATGAAGCTTGTCTAGCTTACTAGCCAACAACAAGACCAGCGAAGAAGGGTGACTGCCCTTGTGGTTAACAACTTCATCCCATAAAAATAACACTAATAATAATAATAATAATAACACTGCTGAAACTTCAAATCCTGAGGCCTTATGTTCCTGTCGGAATGCAGCCGAATGAAAAAATATCCTTCATCAATTTAAAACAGTTAACCTTCCTAATAAATTAAAAGTGACCAGTAGGGTGCAGCAGGTTGAAAGTGAGGCAGTAACTCATCGAGGAAGGCATTCCGAAGTGAATCGATAGAAGTTCGAATTCATGGACTGGCCATTTGATCGGGTCCCAGTGGCTTAATGGTCTACTAGCTTGCTCGCCTTGTTACAAGAAGGCCTTGGCGGTGGTTCCATACTTATGAGAAGTCCCAAACTAGTGTGATAAAACAGTTGTCCAGTATTTCCAGGTTTTCCAATGGTCCTCTAACTGATATCAGCTCATGATGGAATCCTCCAATCAATCAAAAAAATCCTACAAAAACCAAAAGTTAAAAAATTACGGAATATACACATTGGGTCATAGGAGTTATTAAGAAGACAATTGCAGCGAAGAAAATTTTCTTTTCGACGAAGTCATCATCTAGGCTGTACATTCGTGTATTTATATCAAATGGATAGGAAAGTTCCAGAATAATATCTGGTCAAGGGTCAAATTAATAAAAATTAAAATTAGGGATTAGAATGCCATAATAAACAGGGGGATGGATAAAACAAACAAATTAGCATCATGATAGCTAAGAAGATTGAACATGTGCAATTAGGGGTTAGAAATGCAGAAATAACAAAATAGACAGGATGTTTGGATAAGAACTAATGTGATGAATAATTGTTTATGCAATAAGGGATTAAATGTGTAGAAATAGTAAAATGACAAAGTAAACACGAAGTTCGGGTATTTATATATTGTTCGCTTAAAT